CAACCCTACACCATCAAAGCCTTTAGTTCAAAAGCATGACTACAGATTAAAAATTAAATTCTTATAATAAATAAATAAAATGAATCTGCATGAAATGTTTAAGTAATGCACTGGAAGATAATCATGCTGAATTATAGGTCTTTATATTTTAAAAACAAGTAATGACTCCCAACGTCCAGCAGATGGCAGTGTCTGATAAAAGTTGGTCAACTGTACTTGTACAGATCAAAGTTGTTTCTGACATAAATGCATCAAATATTTCACTATGTAATTAGTGCAGTCAATCTAACTCAAAAATGGGCCCAACCTAGGAGAAACTGCAATAGTAATGTTTCATAGTTTTTATTGGTCCCAGTACTCTTCTGCATCATATATTAAAAGTATTAAAAGTACACCAATATTTCACAGTGACATGGTCTGGGTGAAATAATGTTAATATTGTAGGGTCTACCTACACCTATTCAACATATCTGGTGTCCCTTCTTTAGTTTTTGGGGTCACTATTTTCAGTAAAACACTTTTGAAGAGGATGTTCTGATGTATTACACCTGTATTTGGGGTACTACTACCCAACAACCTTTTTTTTTTTTTTTTTTGCCAAATTGTTCACTGATCCTATGGGTGTGTCCGCATCTAAACTGGGTATAAATTATTCTGTCAATTTTTTCACTCTTTTGTCATTAACACACAGGTCTGAAAGACACACACATGCACAAACAGGACCTATACATGCACAAAGTGGAGAGATGTCAGAGTGAGGGGGCTGCCTTGGTCAGACGCCCCGAGCAGTTGGGGGGTTCGGTGCCTCGCTCAAGGGCATCTTGGCAGTGGCCAAGAGGTGAACTCTCTAGCCACCAGTCCAAGCTCCATATTCGGTCCGGACATGGACTTGAACAGGCGACCCTCCGGTTCCCAACCCAAGTCCCTATGGACTGAGCTACTGCCATAAGTCTGAAAGTTACTGGTGACTGGTTCTATTAGCAAGTTTTCTACTCTATTCTACTCTATCAGCATCTTTACTCTTATTGTCATCCACTTAAAACAATTTTTTCAAATTCAAATAAATTGCAAAAGCAATACGGAATGCTGTGCCTCATGGTGATGTGCCAGAAAAGACATCCTGTACGTCGTAGATGGGATGGGATAGGAAAGATATAAGGTGCAATAGTGGAAATAGTTGTGTTTGTTACGGGTGAAAACATTATGGTAAATGAGTGGTGATCATGTCAGAATTTTCACTAACTGGTACCACCCAAGCCAAGGTGGCAAATTCTAGTTTAGTATTTAGTATTATACTTCCAGCAGGATAACGCACCATGTCACAAAGCTCAAATCATCTCAAACTGGTTTCTTGAACATGACAATGAGTTCACTGTACTCCAATGGCCTCCACAGTCACCAGAACTCAGTCCAATAAAGCACCTTTGGGATGCGGTGGAACGGGAGATTCTCATCATGGATGTGCAGCAGACAAATCTGCAGCAACTGTGTGATGTCATCATGTCAATATGGACCAGGATCTCTGAGGAATGTTTCCAGCACCTTGTTGAATCTATGCCACTAAGATTTTAGGCAGTTCTGAATGCAAAAGGGGTCCAACCTGGTACTAGCAAGGTGTGCCTAATAAAGTGGCTGGTGAGTGTATATACAGAGGAATATACAATTAAATAATAATACTAAGGTAAAAGTAATACAAATCCAGAATCGGTTCATAGGAAATGTCTCAAACACATTATTCGTTTTAATTGTCTTCTTATTCTTAAGGCCTCTTGTTGTGGAGCCATGTTGCTGTAGTGCTTGATGGACACAGAGTCCAAACAAAAGTCCCATCTTTTCTAATGAATGTGGAATTTTCCCAATAATAAAATGTAGTCCTGTAGAACCTGTAGAACGCTTGTGTCACTGCACTGAGCAAATAAATGATTGGATGCATTTTCTACAACTTAACAGAGATCCGACATAATTGTCTTTGGTCCATGGAAAGAAAGACAGATTGTCAGCTCTCACCTTGAACCTCTCTCTGTTGTAAGAGTTACACAAGAAACCTTGGTGTCATCCTGGACTCCGATTTAAATTTCCACAGCCACATCAAATCTGTACCGTCATCTGCCTACAACCATTTAAAAAACATTGCTTGAGTCAGAGGAATAATGTCAAAGCGAGACCTTGAAAAGCTCGCCCACGCCTTTATTTCCTGTAGATTCAATTACTGCAGTGGTCTGTTTGTAGGACTTTTAAAACAAGATGTTCTGTAGCTTATTCAGAACGCTGCTGTGAGGGTCCTGATGAAAACTACAAAAATATGACCACATTACTCCAGCCCTAAAATCCTTACGCTGGCTACCTGTCACTCAGAGAACTGATTTCAAAATCTTGCTGCTTGTGTATAAATCACTCTGTGGCTCAGCGCCCAAATATACGTCTGACATATGACCCTTCTAGAACTCTGAGGACATCAAAGAGTCAGAACAAAACATGGTGAAGCAGCGTTTTGTTATCATGCAGCACAAACTTGGAATAACCTCTCAGATGATATTTGACAAACCCTGACTCTGACCACTTGGAAATGGAAATAAATGTGATTAAAATGGTGGTTGCCCCACAATTCAATTATGTTTCCATGATGCTGCCTGTCACCAAGGGACATAGGATGTTTAGGCCTCCCCAATGCAAGACTGTGCAATCTAGCATATGAAATGTCTAGATTGAATATGCACTGGAAGGGAATGGATTCAGAACTGAGTTGGATCATAACTGAAGAGGAGCTTGCCAGTCCCTTCAAACCTTTGGGTTCCCTTTCACATGGTTTAAAGACTGCTAGACATGATGACTCTTTAAACCCAGCGCTTGCTCATTCTAAAGCAGTCTGGGGAGAAGTACACAGGATGTGCGGTGTGTCTCACCTATCATATGCCTCTTTGGGGCATAACCCAGTCATACGTATTGTGGAAAATGTTTACTGGAATCAGTGAATTTTAAAAGGGGTTCTCAAGATAAGTGACCTGTACTTAGATGAAGTGTTTATGTCTTCTTCAAATCTCATGCAAAAATACGATCTGGACTATAAGGGTAATTTTTGGAAGTAAATACAAATCAGAAGCTGTATCACTGAAGGCCAATTCATTCAAGATAAGAAACTAGTATTACTTTTTTTGGAGTACCTTTTGTCATGGCATTCATGTGGATGCCACTTGACGCCCTCCACCCACCCAGACACCGCTGTAGGCCAAATAACCCCCCCTCAAAATGCCCCATGCCACACTACAGAAACTGTTCAGGAATGGCCTGAGGAACGTGCCAAAAAGCTAAGGGCATCGACCTGGCCTCCAAATTCCCCAGATCCAAATCTGATCGAGCATCTTGGGACTTGCTGGTACCTCTGAGGTACCCCTAATCCACAATGGGACCTCCCTGGATCAGACTTGTCTCTGACATGTCAAGGCATAGACACATGACCTCTGGAAGGTGTCCTGTGGTGTCTGGCACCGGGGTGCTGGCTTCGGATCATTTGAGACCTGTCAGTTGTGAGCACTTTCCAAGATGCTCAATCAGATCGGGGTGTGGGAGATGTGGAGGCCAGGTCGACACCTTGAGGTTTTTGTCGCGTTCCTCGGGTCATTCCTGAGCAGTTTCTGTGGTGTGGCATGGCGCATTTTTCCTCTGTGGAGTACCGTTGCCGTGAGGAAGGAGGGGTTACTTAGCCCACAGCGGTGTTTGGGTGGACGGAGGGCATCAAGTGGCATCCACATGAATGCCATGACCAAAGGTCTCCCAGCAGAACATTGCATTGTAACAAACTGATCAATATTACTCACTTCAACCACCACTGGTTTTAATGTTTTGGCTGATTGGTGTATAAAGGAGGCAAGGGGGAAATTTACTCAGTATAAATTAATTCATTGGTTTTACTTTAATCCTTCTAAGCTCCACAGGATGGGTCTACTGGCTAAAAATGCATGTTGGAAATGTCAGACAGAAACAGAAGCATTTCTACATGCAATCTGGGAATGTAAACTGGTTAACCCATTTTGGAAAAAAGTCATGGATCACACAGGGAAGTGGTTGGGTACAACAGTATCTAGATCACCAAGACTATTCCTTATGGGGGACCAAACAGAATTACCAAAAGTATGACCTTGTGGTGATAAATGTAGGGGTCGTCACAGCTGCTCTAGTGATCCTCAAATTCTGGAGGAGTACATCACCTTCAGATTTTGCAAAATGGAAGAAATCTATGTTAGTAATTGGGTGATATGAACACATGTTAGCAAGGGTCAGCAATAAAGTTGAAAGCTTTAAGAGGTCATGGGCTTTTTTGTTTTTAATATGTCTGTTGAACTGTAAGGATGTGGTGTTTAGTTGTACCGCTGTGGTTGCTAAATTACTATGATGGGTATAAGAATGTGGTTTCACTATGTTTTAATTATCCTACAATGTTTGCTGGTGTAATACAGCTGCTTTATTATTAAGGTCCACATGTTTGCAAGGTATCTGGCTTGTGTGCTCGCTCGTGCACCCTTTTTATAGACTCTACTCATTCCTGTGGATATGCTGAGTTACAGTAACAGTACTGTCGGTTTGGTCAGATTTGACTGAATAAATGTTATTTTTAAACTAAATTTTAAATCATTTAAAATATTTTATTTTATCTTTGCACTTCTTGTCAGGTTTGCTATTTTTAATGGGGATTTTTTTTTTAAATTGTAAATTATTTGGTAATTACTTTTACCTTTTATAGCCTACCTTTCTTTTTCTTTACTCTTTTCTGTATCCTTTATTATGTTTTATATTTTACTGCTCTGTAAAGTCCTTTGAGCTGCCCTTGTGTATGATTGTGCTATACAAACAAAGCTGCCTAGCCTTGCACATTAGTCATACAAACAAACAAAAAACCTTCGTCAAACCTTACCAGAGGTGAGGGGGCATTTCTGATGAAGTTAACACTTCTGATCCAGATACACGGCCGCAGATCAACGAGCCAATCACAGCGGCTCCAGCAGGAGGGGCTGGCAGCTCTGCTCAGCAGCGCACCATCACAAAGTTGCAGAGCATCTCAGAGTCCCCGCCTGCTTTGCGCCGTCACTTGCTTATCTGTCGCACCTGCAGCCTGCCTTTTCCTCCACTACCGTTACTTTACTTCAGCCTTTCCCTACCGTCAAAGCGACCCAGCCCCGATCAAGGTGTGTCACGACGCGTTTCAAAGATGCTGGCTTGTACGGAGATGATCACTATGTGCCTGCAGTCGGCCAAACAGAAGCATCTCCGGGCTCAGCAGCAGCAACAGCAGCCGCTGCACAGCGCCGGACAGGGGTTGACCATCTTTCATGATGTGAGTGCATCGACTCTTTTCTTACTCTGTGCATCACTGTGAAAAGAAAAGTAGTGTTTGGCCATAAAATAATTAAATCAAATGCAAATCAAACTGTAAAAGTCATATAAAAATCATATAGGGTGTGAAACTATATGTCTGTTGTAGGAGTTGTATTTTTCTCTCTCTAGAAAATTCCTTAAAAGTGACAGAAATGTTTTATCAAGTGTTTTTCTCTTGTATATCCACACACCCATAGATAATACAGTATTTGTGTGTGTGTGTGTGTGTGTGTGTGTGTGTGTGTGTGTGTTTGTGTGGGGAGTGCGTGCGTGTGCGCGCGCCAGAGGAAAGTAGGAAGAGCTGCAGCTGCTGCCTCTGCATAATAAATTAAGCTCTCACAGTCGGACAGGTTTAGGGACTGCTGGGGGTTCTCCTCTTTTTGTTGCACACACACATACTATACAAACACCTCTGGTCTTTCAAAAGCTTTATGTAACAACGAGTACCTCACACACACACACACACACACACACACACACACACACACACATACCTACCCCCGTTGGTATTTAAAGGGACAGTTTACCCCCAAATTAGAAATACATATTTGTCTTCTTACCTGTAGTGCTGTTTATCAGTTTAGGTTGTTTTGGTGTGAGTTGCTGAGTGTTGGAGATATCAGCTGTAGAGATGTCTGCCTTCTCTTTAATATAATGGAAATAGATGTCACTCAGCTTGTGGTGCTCAAAGCGCCAAAAACTACATTTGGAAAAACTCAACAGCAATGTCTCTTTTGAGAAATCATGACCTGGTTACTCAAGATAATCCACAGACCTTGTTGTGAGCAGTTTCATGTAGGAACTATTTTCTTTGCTCTGAGCTACACCCGCCAACCATATCACCATGCAGGAGTGTGCATCCACTGCTAGCTCGCTTAGCACCACTAAGCTAGCTTAGCTAAGGAAATTGCCATAAATGTTTACATCTTGCGCTGTTATGAGCATGAGCCAGTGGTGGCCCCTGCACATTTAGTGCCCTAGGCGAGTCTCCCCAGCCCCCACAATTCCACCAATAGCTGATACAGATGTTTTTATATCTGTGTTTTTGTTCTTTGTTGTTGTTTATTCTTCTTTTCTGTCAGGGAAACGCAGAAACCTACACTATAAAAATAAATGAACAGTTTTAAAGTCATTCAGTCACATTTCAGGCACAAATTCAATAATTCACATGTAAAATATCTTTTTACTATACATGCTACGTCATAATTTCCTCTCTAACATCTAATTTATGGTGCTGTGAAATAGAACGTGTATAGTCTGAGTGGGCGGAAGTTCGATATTTTTGTGGGCATGTTACACCAAAACCTGTTTCCCCCCAGCAATATTTTTGCAAGCGCACCGTTGCTGTGGCACCGCCCAGAACGATTGTGATTGGTTGAAAGAAATACAAGCAGCCGGGGCGTTTTTTTTTCTCCAATCTTAAAGTGAGAGTCGGCCCAGTCCGACCTTTCTTTTCTTGAGAAAGGTCTGGTGAGCGAGACTAGCCATAGCACAACACAGCAGCATGTCAAGTGGGCCAAACCAGAGCAAAATTTGTGATTTGTTATCCGAACCCTGCCTGATTCTGCCAGTATTCACACTCTACTGTGATAACATCAACAAATTTCTCTTTCAAACGGCTGTTTGTTTCTTGCTAGAAGCTACACTTTACAAGATTACATTGAACACATCATGAGTGTTTACCTTTGTCCAATACTCATTTTTACTGAATAGAGCTTGAAGGCTTCACAGTGTAAATCAATGCAACCTCCATGAGCTGTTAATTGTGGCCATCAGCTGCTTAGAGGTAACGATAACTAGCTGCTAACAGCTAACAGCTAAGTTAATGAGCTCTCCTTCTGCTGATTTCAACACAATTTTTTTTTTGTGTTCTTTCTCTCCACATCCACTCCTCCCAGTAGTGTAGTGGTAGTTCAGTGGGCACCAGAGAGCTTTTGTCGTCTTGACATGCTAACGATACAGCATGTTTCAAGGTTCACGTGACATTGGATAACTTGCCAATCTCCACCAGAGAGCAGGTTAAGTGTAACGAGGTGAGGAGGGGGCATTGGGGTGGCAGAAAAACCCAAAAAAGGCCTCTTTATTATTTAGTAGGCTTTGCTTTGTAGTTATGTTGTTGTTTCAAAATATCAGTAGTAATAGTATTAGTGAAAAAAAGTAAAGGATAAACATCTTGATTTTTTTCCTTTCCCCCATTTATGGCGCCCCCTATGGATGATGGCACCCTTAGCATTGGCCTGTACTGCCTGTGCCCAGGGCCTCCACTGACATGAGCCTCTCGTTCATGACTAGTAGTTTGCAGGTGTAGTTCCTACACGAAACTGCTCACAACAAGGTCTGTGGATTATCCTGAGTAACTGGGTCATGATTTCTAGAAAGAGACATTGCTGTTGAGTTTTGCAAGTGCATTTTTTAGCACCACAAGCCGAGTGCCAGCTAGTGTCATTATATTGAAGAGAAGGCAGACATGTCTACAGCTGATATCTCCAACACTCAGCAGCTCACCCCAAAACAGTCTAGACTGACAAGCAGGATTATAGGTAAGAGCAAAAATATGTATTTTTGTTTTGGGGATGAACTGTCCCTTTAAACAATAACACCCAGTGCCTGCAGCAGAAACTGTCCATCAACACAGTAATTATCCATCCATCCATCCATCACATACTGTCATGTTCAGGGTTAGCAGGTCAACGATGTGTCCAAATCTGAGCTCTAACTAACTGACATCCTTCTGTCTAATCTGTCACTCATGCCGTACACAGGCAGCTTTGTCTAAATAAGGACACATTACTCACATTTGGCAGGATTGTCACTGTGTCCGTGCAAACTGTCCCTGAACAGGGTGCAGCACAGAAGTGCCTCCACATTCAGGCTTCAACCTTGAGATTTTTTTTGTTGATGGAGCACAAACACACTGACAGACACACTCTGATGGCTCCGGGCTCAAAAAAAACATAATTGTGTTTGAGCTGCCTAAAACTGCCTGTGTCAGAGATAATGGTGTCTGGAAATACTAAATACTCTAAAGCAAGACAAGGACATGCTGTCTTGGTTTATATCGCCATGCTTGTTTGTTTTTCCTCTCTGCTCACCTCATTATTTTTTGTCTTTCTGCTCTTATTTGGTGGAGAAGACACAATGTGCTGACACTGGAAATCATATTCCTGCCTGTGGCTTCCCAATTATTCCAGCACATATGTAATTTTGTATTTCAGGCAGGAAGAGCTGTCCTCATCATGCTATCATATTTCCACTGGTCCCCACAGTAGGAAGTATTCTCAAGCCAGCTGGTCAGATTATTAACCACAAAACAAGCACAAATACTGTGTGTGCCTCGATTTAAAGTTGTAGCACTGATCAATAGTGATTGATTTTCAGAGATAATGTCAGTGGATTATTATTTATTATTGAAGTGGTGTACATTGACTTGAGGGATATTTAAAAAAAAAAAAACCCACACAATTAATAAGTAGATTGGGGACGTGCGACAGACGGAGATCAGCATGTCAATAGTGGGTCGATGTTGAGTCCTTTCACATGATAATGAGTCAGTCGGTGATGTTGGAGATGCAGAGAGTCACAATATTTGACTCACATTTCCAGGGTGACAAAGCAATGCCTCAAAAGAAAAAAAAGGTCAGGGGCAAATAAACATAATAAAAAACAAACACGACAAAGATAGCAGCGTCCTAAAAAGAGTAGGTAGAAGTAAAACTTACATGTTCCTACCCCTGTCTTACATTTCTTCTTTTAACTCATATATTATTTCAACAAATTCCCACATTTAATTACAGCTAATATAAAACTGTCCCCCAGTCTGTTTACCACCCAATTAAATAAATAAGTAATAAACCCAGTGTATTTACAGTCCAAGTACCACCCAGTGTTACAAAATAAATATGCACTCCCCTAACACAACCTTTCCTCGTCTATATATTTGCCAAAAATATCTTTTTTTGTGTGATTTTTTTTTTTTTTAAATTGATTTATATTTATGCTTTGTTTCAACTCAGCATGCAGCCCATTCCACAAGTCTATAATGATGCTGGTGATGGTTGTTGGAGGCAGAGTTGGGTCAATATCAACATTTGCTGATCTGGTTGGGTGTACGGGTTTATACTAGTATGATTTATGCAAACTAGCTGAACTGGCTTTGTCATTTTGACATGTTTGAGACGAGAGATAGCAGCGTAGTCTCAAAGAAAAATCTGTGCCAATATGGCTACACATCAAAAATGAAGCTGATTAAAGAGTTAGACCGAAAACCAGAGATGAGGCAACGTGTAATCACTGCAGTGAAAAACATACTGCCAGCACTTGGGAGTGGCTGCTGACTCAAGGGCAACACCTAGTGGTAAAGTTTGTTATAGCAGTCCGATCCAGTGTTTTGCTTCATATCAAACCAGTTTAAAAGTTTTTACAGTGGCTGAACTAGTCCGATCTCATTCCCAGGTCATCAAATAAAGGCATTGTGATACTGACACTGAAAGCACCCCTTGGTGTCTGTATGAGACACAGCGGGCTATTAGCTTACTCCAGTGTATAATACCTGACGCTCAGAGCAAACAAGTTAATTTAAGTTTTAATACAGAAGTTCTGATTATGCTTCCTTTGTTATGTCCAACAAACAAGATAAATCTCTGCCCCAAAGATATCTTATAAATGGGCCCCGGATACATTGAAAACAATTTTTATTTATCTTATCTTTCCTTAAGGCCAGTGCCCAATACTCTGGGTGCTTTTCCATATTAATGCTATATATCTTTTTGGCTTGTAGAAAGCACTAATCTATCAAAAAAAATTCACTGTGTTTTATTTTATGACCCTTTTGGATAAATAAAAACAAAACATTTAGGATCTTCGGTTGATTGAATTGATAATATCTCTTGCACTACCTGTCAAACATCTATCCAAAATTCCATCATCTATGGGCAACTCCATTTACAATGGAAAAATCTC